CAGTGCAGAGCGCGCGACGTGCAAGTCCTCGCCGTAGCGCCTTCGCCCCCGTCCCTGCGCCCAGCGATTTCCTATCCTTCCCCCTTACTCACACACTTTCACTACATCACCACACATGTCAGGAGACTAATCGGGAGCTTGGACCTTGTCTCAGTGCCACGTTGGTGGGAGGCACCGGATTAGGGAATATTCCCGATCTCATTATGCAGCGTGGGAAGATCGAAATCTCCCTCTGTCGCTTCTCGCAACTCTCTTCCTCTTCAGCTGGCAAAGGCCTCCAGCAACGGACTTCTCGTGCAATTATGTCGTGTTTGTACTCCTGCATTTATATTAATTTTATGATTAAAGTGGACTCTTTGCAGATTGCAGGGCATTCTTTTGTTTTAATTATTTGACGTGAATGATTTATTTCTATTTTAGTCCCTAATACAAAAAGGTTTCACAAACAAATCTGTCCCCAAGCGTCCGTCTGTCTTGTTCTGTCATGGCCCTGGGGGCAGCGACTTGCGCTCATCTGCTCCACTCGCGCGCTATTCAAGCAAAGGATGTGAATTGCGAAAAATGGACTATTTATGTGCAAATAACCCCTATGTGTATCAAACCTCTTTTGACGAGTTCTAAATGCACAGGAACTAAACTGTAATTGCATTAGTTAGTAGTTGTTCGTTTTAATGGCCATTATTGGGCTACATTATGCACAGATTATATGAAATTTTATTAATTATGAAAATTTACTCTCAGTATTTCGTTAATGCCTTCCGGATTACACGTAATTGGTGTTTAGGTGATGTTCGCCCGCTCTCTGCGGCGATAAAATAATATAAAAGATCATGTACATGAGTGCGGTTTTTTCCTGCGATTTCACTTCGTAATTATATTCGCATTTAAATAGAATATGCCTTTAGCCATAAAAAGACAGCTTCGCTCGCATTTAAAAATGGGAATCGTGACTTGTCATGACAGCAAGATATTTTTTGTCGAAAATGAAACTCTACCTTCCCAAGTAAATATTTGATCATTTAAATTGTCATGGGGAAAACCATGTAACCATGGGGAAAAGGCATTTCTGGTCCATAAACCATGAACGCAAGCCATCAAAATACACTGTTTCGTCTTTTGGTAGTAAATACATGCATTCTTCATTCCCTTCGCTGACAATTTAAATGTCAGTCAGTGAAATAGTTCACTACAAAATAAGATCTTACTACAATTTTAATAGATCGATTTTAGTGGTAAGAGTAAGCTTTTATAATGATTGCAAAAAGATATAAATTTTCACTGTGAATCTTTCGTGGTGTTGTGTAATAATTGAAGTTTGTTATACGAAATACAATTTTCAAAATGCGATTTTCAAAGTGCATTTTTCCCCTTACTTTGTTTCCTCCATTTTTCTTCAACAACGAGAATCCCCTGTTGTGCGGAAGGTGTGAAAGTGCGAATCTCTGGGCTCCGTGAAGCCCTGCACGGCGCCGCGCTGCGCTCTGGCGGCCGGCGGCGGAGTCGCGGGGGGGAGGGGTCGGAAGGCGTGTTTCGAGATAAACCTATTTAAAGTTGGCGGCGCCATGTATCACCCGGGGGAGCGAAAGAAAAGTTTGGCGGCGCGGCGGGTGAGTCGTGTAAATCCCGGACACCCATCACCCGCACCCGGGCAGGGGGAGGGGGAGGGGCAGGGGCGGCGCATATTATTACTCCCCCTTCGGCGCCGCGCGGCGCATCGACCCACGACCCCACCGCTCCTACCTCTACCGCCCTCGCCTTCTCCGCCTCCGCCTCCGCCTCTGCAATCTCACCACTGCTTCCACCAGTGTTTCCTGATTCGCCCCGCGCCACAAGTAGTACAATGGCTCTTTGATATAGCGAGTAGACGTACTATACCAACAAAAAAATAATTAAAAAAATAAAATAATAAAATATAGCAAATGGAACAGTAATGACCTGAGAGTTGACGCGCCTGGAACCACTTACTCATCTTATATCGGCGCATATCCGTTCTTCCCCTTCGACTGCCGACTACCGTGCAGCCATGGAAATCAGAGCAGCCGGCAGCTGAGATGGACCTAACTGTGTAGCTAGTCGAAGCCTAGCATCTCCCGGTCAGAGGCACTGCAGTAGCATCAATGCCCTGAGCCACCTAAGCCGGCCAGCCTGTAAATATGTGGCGAGTTATGCTGGAGGGGGAAGGTTGACCACAACACGAGCACTTTTATGTTAAACAATTATCATCCTGTGTAGTTATATTAGTGTTCGATGAATTTCAGAATTAGCTACTACTGCACTTTCGAAGCGAAAGGAGCGGAGACCAGACCCAAGACGTTCCTGCTCCTTTTCTGTAGACGGTCACCTCTACTTTCATGTGGCGGGGCTTCCGCAGTCCAGGGCAGTGTTTGAAACTTCCCAGCCGGCAGGGCCGCGCCGCAAACTTCTCCTCTGCGCGTATTTCATCATCGGCTGACGGGCCGGGTCTCAGGAAAAGAGAGCGAAGGCGCGCACGCGACCGCTGCCTTCCCGGCGGCGACGCTCCGCTCTTGTCCTCGCCACCAATCATATTGCTCTGTAAACGTCTTTAAGGCGCCGATCGCTGGCAACACAGAAGGCTTTGGCCCAACTATAGAGCTTAGCAAGCGTACGAGAAAATATATGCCACTCTGTAGCACACATTCGAAACACATTAACTGAAATTGAAATATTGCTTTTCACTCACTTAAAGCCCGTTTTACACCAAACGTAAGATTGTAAATCTTAAATATTTCCTTTTAATTCTGTTCCATGTACTCGTGTAAGATAGCGAAGAAGACTATCCTTCCAGAGGGCATGCTGCATGATGCTTACTACTCAGGATCCGCGATTGTCCACAGTGCGTGCTGTGTGCGCGCTGTGTGCTGTGTGCGCGCTGTGTGCTGGGTGCTGGGTGCATGCTGTGTGCGCGCTGTGTGCTGGGTGCGTGCTATGCTGGGTGCGTGACGGGTGCTGGGCCCGTGCCGGGTGCTGGGCCCGTGCCGGGTGCTGGGCCCGTGCCGGGTGCTGGGCCCGTGCCGGGTGCTGGGTGCGTGCCGTGTGCTGGGTGCGTGCCGTGTGCTGGGTGCGTGCCGGGTGCTGGGTGCGTGCCGTGTGCTGGGTGCGTGCCGTGTGCTGGGTGCGTGCCGTTGGCTAGCGTGCCGTGCCGGTGTGGGTTGTCGGCCGGTGCTGGGTGCGTGCCGGTGCTGGGCGCGTGCGTGTGCTGGTCGCGTGCCGGGTGCTGGGTGCGTGCCGGGTGCGTGGGGTGCGGGCGTGCCGGTGTGCGCGGTGCGTGCCGCTGTGCTGGTGCGTGCGGTGTGCCGGGTGGTTGCCGTGTGCTGGGTGCGTGCCGGTGTGCTGGGGTGCGTGCCGTGTGCTGGTGCGTGCCGGGTGCTGGGCGCGTACCGTGTGCTGGGCGCGTACCGTGTGCTGGGTGCGTGCCGGGTGCTGGCGCGTGCCGGGTGCTGGCGCGCGTGCCGGTGGCTGGGCGCGTGCCGTGGCTGGGCGCGTGCCGGTGTCTGGGTGCGTGCCGGGTGCTGGGTGCGTGCGGGTGCTGATGCGTGCGCGTGTGCTGGGCCCGTGCCGTGTGCTGGGGCGCTACGCGTGCCGCGTGCTGCGTCCGTGTGCTGGGTGCGTGCCGGGTTGCTGGGCGCGTGCCGTGTGCTGGGCGCGTGCCGTGTGCTGGGTGGCGTGCCGGGTGCTGGGCGCGTGCCGTGTGCTGGGCGCTGTTCGGGGTGCTGGGCGCGTGCCGGTGCTGCGCGTGCCGAGTGCTGGGTGCGTGCCGGGTGCTGGGTGCGTGCCGGGTGCCGGTTGCGTGCCGGGTGCTTGGGCGCGTGCCGGGTGCTGGGTGCGTGCCGGGTCGGTTGCGCGTGCTGGGTGCGTGCCGGGTGCTGGGCGCGTGCCGTGTGCTGGGTGCGTGCCGTGTGCTGGGTGCTGCCGGGTGCTGGGCGCGTGCCGTGTGGCTGGTGCGTGCGGGTGCTGGTGCGTGGCCGGTGCTGGGTGCGTGCCGGGGTGCTGGTGCGTGCGGGTGCTGGGTGCGTGCCGGCTGCTGGTGGCGTGCGTGCTGGACCCGTGCCGTGTGCTGGGCGCGTGCCGTGTGCTGGTGCGTGCCGGTGTGGCTCGGGCGCGTGCCGGTGCTGGCGCGTGCCGTGTGCTGGGCGCGTGCCGGGTGCTGGGGCGTGCCGGGTGCTGGGTGCGTGCCGAGTGCTGGGTGCGTGCCGTGTGCTGGGTGCGTGCCGTGTGCTGGGGCGTGCCGGGTGCTGTGCGCGTGCCGGTGCTGGGCGCGTGCCGTGTGCTGGGCGCGTGCCGTGTGCTGGGATGCGTGCCGTGTGCTGGGCGCGTTGCCGGTGCTGGGTGCGTGCCGTTGTCTGGGTTGCGTGCCGGGTGCTGGGCGCGTGCCGGGTGCTGGGTGCGTGCCGTGTGCTGGGTGCTGGTGCCGGGTGCTTGGGCGCGTGCCGGGTGCTGGGCGCGTGCGGGTGCTGGCGCGTGCCGGTGCTGGCGCGTGCCGGTGCTGGGCGCGTGCCGGTGCTGGGCGCGTGCCGGGCTGGGTGCGTGCCGGGTGCTGGGTGCGTGCCGGGTTGCTGGGTGCGTGCCGTGTGGCTGGGCGCGTGCCGTGTGCCTGGCGCGTGCCGTGTGCTGGGTGCGTGCCGGTGCTGGCGCGTGCCGTGTGCTGGCGCCGTGCCGCTGTGCTGGGTGCGTGCCGGTGCTGGGCGCGTGCCGGGTGCTGGGGTGCGTGCCGGTGCTGGGTGCGTGCCGGGTGCTGGCGCGTGCCGGTGCTGGGCGCGTGCCGGGTGCTGGGCGCGTGCCGTGTGCTGGGTGCGTGCCGTGTGCTGGGCCGTGCCGTGTGCTGAGGCGTGGCGTGCGCGTGTCGTAGGCGGAGGGCGCTGCGCCTGCTGGAGGTGCGAGTGCCGCAGCACGCTGTGCGCGACCAGCCCGCGCGCTCGAGTGCCACTTCGACCTGGAGGGGGAGGCGCTCTACTCCGTCAAGTTGGTACAAGGACGGGCGCGAGTTCTTCCGCTTCTTGCCGCGCGACGCGCCGCCCGCGCAGCTCTTCCGCTGCCGGGGCTGCAGGTGGACGTGAGTATCTTTACCTCACTTTGGTTCTTTCTGTATGTAGACATGCCTAACATGCCATATCAATGAAATCTCAAATCATCAATCCTTACGGACAAGCGATGACACGTGCGTATATGAACTTCCTCACTTTTACCTAAGCCGAACCTTATCGCCTCCGCGACTTGGTGCAACTCAGATGAAAACTGAACCCTGGCCGTGAGAAAGTGAACATCGTCGCGAGCTATTTGCTTGAAGCAGCTCGAGTGACGTACCACATCTCATGACGAGGATTGATCCCGGGTCTTCCGAATACGAAGGCAGTGCGCCCTAAGCCCTAAGCCACTTCGCTTCGATGAGGTTTATTCTGTTAAAGGACAATAAATCTCAATGCGACGTATGAGAGACAAGTACAATCTTAGCATGAAATCCATAAAGAGTGGATGAAGTAGACATTTCTAACAAGAGGTGGCTACGAAGATGAAACTGCCCACGTGGATTAGACATATCACAGATTACGTGATAAAATACTGATGGGAGGTCCTGAGGTTAGTGAGAGACAAGGTGTCGAGTTCCATAGTCAGTGTTAAATTTCTAATTACGTCATACTATGTACCGTGTAAGAAGCGTTACAGAGCGTTCAGCGGCAGTGAACGATTTTAATGACAGATTGTATAACAGATGAGCGTCGCCTAAGACCGCATCGCTCTCCGCTAAATATTCATCCGCCTGTCAGCTGAGTTGCATTCACAGCTGGTCCGCGGTTGACTGATTTGTGTTGTTCAATGTAGTTTTGATCGCGTGGATGTTAGAAACAGTTTTCACGAGAGATTCATTTAATTCCGTACCATTAATGATGAAAAATTATTACCAAGTGATTCAAAACATTTCGAAATACTCTTGAGAACATTGTGTATGATGAATTAAGTTCATTAGATACAAGAATGAAAGGAAATACTGCATAGCTCCCACGTAGGCCTTGTAAAAAAACTACCGGAATTCTGCGGTACTTTCGGTCTTGCGTGATCAGAAGATTCAAATTAATGTGTGCTGTGTAATGTTTGCGTTATGATATCTGGTGTTTATAATTGACGATTTCATTTTTCACGTTGCTCATCTTATGACTGACAGCCAGTTTATCAATTATTGATCAGTGACTTGCAGATATGGTTAGTTAATTGTGAATTCGTTGTAAAAAATACTTAAATAAAATAATTTGTTCAGTTATTGACTAATGAAACAAGGCTTAAGTGACATGTATAATTAACATAAAACTACCATGAATTTGCTATTTTCTTTTCATAATTTTGGCTTCTCCTGATTGTACCAATCTTGGAAAATTTTCACACTACATTCAAAGATTTCTTTGGGAAAAGGGTACAAGTTAGTAGATATTCTGGAGTACTGTTTGGCAGTATTCTCAGTTAATTTAATTGATCAGTAACTTCAGGTAAATTTCTTAAATATGGCAATCAAGTCAGTTCTTAAAAGATAAAAAATGGGTTGAAAAGTGCTTTAAATTATTGTACTCACCTGTCATTCAAAAGATATTAAATAGTACATTCAAATTAATGAAAGATAAATGGTTTTCATGATCACTGTGCAAGTTTAGCCTTAGAAATGAAAATTGAAATGTTTCATACCTTCAATAACTTTATTACATAATATAAAAGTCAATTAGAAAATTAGGTGAAAGGTAACATAAAAAAACAAACATATAAGTGAAAAAATAATTCCCTTTATTTGCATGATTATTTATTTGAAGGATACACATTTCCACGAATCCATTTGAAGTTTAATAAATTTTATCCTCTAGATTATTTAAAGTCCAACTATACAAAATCAAAATGAGTTTCCTAAGTCCTTTTAGAAAAATATTCACAACCTACTATTAACATCTCCAGCCTCAGCCTACCACATTTGCCAGGGTCAGGACTAAAAATTTTGAAAATAAAAGTATATACATTTGAATTTTTTACCAAGAGGATAAAACAAAGAACAATGTACGTATTGTATCTTCTTATATGACAACACTTTATTGGTTATCAAAGCAGTCCTAACAGCCGATTTTGATAATTTAATAATGTTATTGCATAAGATGTACAATACGAGAATCTAAACATACTGCTCAAAAGATAAAACTTTTCTTTTCACTGAATCTGCATTTCTAATTTTTTTCTATAAAAGAACTAATTTTTCTATTACTTGAAGTTAATTTTTGATGAGTGAATGAATGTTATTAAAATATATTTTCAACCCATTCATTCACAATCAACCTTTTCTTCACATACTTTCATTCACACATCATTTTATATGCTATTCATATACATAAAAAAATGAACTTCATATTAACTGAAAAAACTTCTTTCGTTTAATAAATAAAATTAAAAATTTATACAATAATTACTAGAAATAATTTACAAAGGAAGTTAACATTGCAGTCATAAAGAAGTGTCTAGTTATTCTTCTGAGAAGTACGCCTTAAAAAAACACCTACCCATACAGAGGGCAAAAAGCAACATTACTTCTGGAAGCAAGCAAATGAGCGTTTATTTCAAAGGCATATTTATTTCAGTAAGCCAAGATCAGCTTAAAAACAATAAAGTTTCACTATTCACCTGGAATGTAACCACTTACTTGCCTTCGATGGATAATATATAAACTTTTAATTCTGCACCTGAGAAGAACAAGAGTTATGTCAAATCATTTTCAAACTTATGAAATATACTGCATTAAACATGTAAATATACTGACCATATCTCTCTTAAGTAGAGACACAAGAGCCCAGGCATGGGAACAGCATGAGGAACGTTATCATCAGGAGTCATCCTGAATATTTACTTTATGACAGAAATCCTGAAGCATCCTGCCTAACTTCTACTTTCCAATCTTCTTCTATAATTTTCTCTATGTGTGTCATATAATTCTTGCCAACTAAAGCAATGTACAGAATGGAATAAGTACTTTATCTTAACAAATTTTCTGCAAAAAAGACTCTAGACAATATTTGATTCTTCAATCATTTCATCTACAACATATCTGCACCCACATCAACTGATATGATTTTTCAAATCATGAAAATGGCAATCACATTGTATCAAAATCATGTAAAAATAAAACTGCCTTATTCTAAGATTAACTCAACAAAACTTAGGTTTAAGAGTACCTTTTCTGAACAATTACTTCAGAAGTTTTCAAAAGGAAGACACTTAAAGGTATGCTCAGGTCTTAACGGTACGAAGTGCTGAGATAGAAAATGCTGCAGGCAGGTCACCCTTCTTACATGTTGTTGAAGGCCTTTTCACTTTCTAAAAATGGAAATGACAAAAGGATATTTAAATATTTTAGTTATATTCAAAAGGACACCTATGCATTTATTTCCATTCTTTCATAAAAACATATAAAACATTCTACTGGCAAACTGATGTTTTCAAGAAAAATTGTATTACTGATATAACTAAAAATCACTGAACACACATTGAATGCTGAATAAATTTTCTATTCCAACGCTTTTAATGAAACATCCAATTTCACCACTGGTAGTTTTAATACTCGTTTTATAATCAATGGTATTTTTATAAATGGAATAAATGTATAATTTCCAATGAATATTTTTCAACATTTCTTAAAAAAACAATTATGAAATGGTTCACTCACCATACAGATTCACAGGTGCATGTCTTTACAATAACTGATGCTTCTGCCTAGTCAAAGGTAGTAATTCTTCTTTCATCCACTTTTGGGCAACATCTTGCGTTCATAGTTCTATGAGATTTATCTACTTCTTTTTTCTTGACGGAAACAATAGTACTGCATCTTCGATGGAAACCATTTGCACCTCCTGCATATATGACTATATATCTTTACCTTCATTCTAAAAATTTTGTTTGCTTGAGCAACTTTTCATTTTTATCTTTCCATGACCGAGAGGCATAACCTAAGGAATAGTTGTTTAAAAACATATTAATAAAGATCTACTGAAATAAAAATCATATTTAACCACTATGTAGGTTTGCTTCAAATGACAAACGATATTCATCATACACATAAGTCATTACACACATTGCTATTTCTCAAAAGATGCATTTCATTACATGGCAAAATATGCCTTCTCCATTCCCTTATATCTAAGAATTTCATAATTTTCAACACTACAAAATTTAGTAGATTTTTTTTCTTGCCTTTTGAATAAGACCAAGTTTCATCCAAAAAACCGCTAATTAAAACCTTCAGCCGTCAGTTTCATATATTCCATCAAAAAGTCAGAATTTCAATAAACTATTATCATTTCTTTCCATGCAATGTAAATAAAATTACTTACCATTCTTTACATTGAATTAAATAATGTTGCCTGAATCAAGCCCCTGTCCAAAAATCATCCACTACACAATGTTTTGTTCCCATCTATTCCTGGACACTCCTTTCTAGAGTCTGGAGCAGTATCAGGGTCTTGCTATCCAATATCTGTAAATTAAGTTCAACATTATCAAAACAATTTCACCTGACACTTATTGACCTTTCATTATGACACTGTATTATGATTTACTTTTACTTTTTGAACAATCTGAGTTTTCAGCTTCAATTTCATAGGCAGTTTTGTCAATATCTGAAGAAGTTTCTATATTTGCATCGCATTCAGCTCTTACACAAATCTTGCAATAAAAAAAAGAGTCTTCTTGGCACTGATGCTGTGTCATTTCTCCCTTCTGCGATGGACTCATTGCAAAAGTATTTCTTTAAAAGCTTATTGACTACATTAAATATTTACAACCTTAATAGTATATAAATGTTACATCTAATATTTCAATGAATTAAACATAATAATAAATATTAAATAAAATAATTGGAAATTCTCCGAAATATGTGGAGTGCAAATCGTTCAAGTCTTCTTCCCCTGTTGTCGAACGATCTCACAAAGTTCAACAGGCTGTGGAGAAGGTCGGAGAGCGCCCCCTCTCCGGGGGTGCCACGGTCAAAATACACAAAACAGTCATAAACACGGCAAAACTGTCCTTGAAACTTGG